CTGACTGTGACTCCGCCTTGAGGGAAAGAGTAGTGACTGGACTCTGGTTCAGTGGCAGCTCAGGGCAAGAGGGTTGTCTGAAATGTGTTATCCCGTTTACCTAAAGGTAGCCACAAAACTTGGTGAGAAACTTCACTTGGTGTTCTTTTTGTCACAAATGTTCTATGACTGGTTTAAAGCCGTGTCAGCAAGTTCAAACATAAATAAGACTTAGACATTTAGATATAAGTCCTACATCTATGTCTGTGACAGATTACAAAGACAACTGTTGGGGTATGACATTTAAAGCACATGCCAGGTTTCTGGTAGCTCACACAGGTGCGTGGAGAGCAGGCTTGAAACTAGAAGGAATCAAACAAAAGTCTTGACCATCAGTACAACGGAGAGTAATGGGTCCCACTGATCTGCTGCCCAAGATCTCACCAGGACTCCGATCCGGATCTGCTGTCTGAGATACTGGGAGGATCTGATAGATCTCTACAATGGAGCCTTCTGCAGAAGAGCCTACCCCCTGAAATAGGCTGTTGGCATCATAAAGGGCATTTTGGATGCAAGTCCTGGCAGGGCTGTTTGAAAGCTTTGTGTGCCTCTCTCAGCTCACGCAACCCTGGGCTGCCTGGCACAGCTGCACTCGGAGCTGGGGCATCCACAGCCTGGGTGTTGGAAATGCAGAAAAGCAAAGCAAGGAGCAGAGGAAACATCCCTTATGTTTATAAATCTAGGAAACATAGGAGAAACAACACATTGAAATTTGTTCATTTAATTTTACTGTTGTTGGCGGGAAGCTTGAGATTGCAAGTCATTTGAGTCAGAATGCCTCCAATGACAGGACCTGCTGTTCTAGGCATGAGCTGAGTGCTGTGTGCTGTGCCCAGACACACTGCTTGTAGGGATTGTTTCTAGATCTTTTCCTTTTATTTTCTGCAGGGTGTGAGTGTTTTATGATGTTTCGGTCCAAGCTTTCTATATTTGGGGATTTTCTCGAACCCCTACTGAATAAACCATTTGATATTCTTGTTCTCAGTTTCACTTTCCCACATTCGTGAGGAAGTGAAAGCTGTACATTTGAACTCAATGGGGTCCTCCCCGGTCTTGCGACACAGGAGCATTTCTGCAGGAATCCTGCCGCATCCGACAGACACCTTTTAAAAACAAATTGGAGGTTTATTATTTAAGTATCCCGCTACATGAAATACTCGAGCGAAACGCATGAAATCAAAAGGAGCACGAAGGAAGAAAGAAAGATCGAAAAAGGCCTGCTGCACCGTTTGGGAAAATGAAACGAGGGAAGCCCAGCCCCCCAGTGAATGATTTATATGTGTGTATTAGGTGTCAGCTGTGAAGAAGTGCAGCCTAAGTGAAGCCGACATGACAGAGCAAAGGAGACTACAGGAGGCAATTTAGGAGGCAAATGTTCCCTTCTTTCCAAACCATTTCTTCTAGGATAATGCCGATAGCAGGGCCCTGTGCTTTTTCTCCAAATATACACGGAGTGATTAGGAGGGACTGTGTTTAATGTGCAGGGGGAAAGGAGGAACATGTACGCTGAACCCGAACCCTTAATGCTAACAGTTGCCGCAAAAGGATTTGTCATTTTCCCAAAAGAGGAAGAAAAAAAACATCTCCTTGTTCTTTTTTTTAAAAAAAGAAAACAAACTTCTGGATTCATTTTGAGGCACACCAGGTTGCGCGGCTTTGAAAGGAAATTATTTTGAATGACCGCACGGTTGAGGCTTGAAAGGTGAAGGTGGTGGAACGGGGCTCTGTCTTGAGCATGTAAGCTTGGAGCCCAGTGTGAGGTAAAACTAGATCCATGAGAACCACACTCAATTGAACTGCTGGTGTATTCACAAATACATTGCAAAGTAACCACAGCAAATACAAAGAACAGCAAAAATCGAAGTGAGGAAACTATCCTTAATGTCTTAGACACTCTGAAGGCTTTGCCAAGGCAGAGACAGCTCTTCAGCTCCATTAACAAACTGAATAAACAGGGTTTGCAGTCTTTTATGCCTGATGGTTTGCCTCTTGGTACTACAAGTATTGTTCCTTGAAGGTCAACCATACCTGCATAGAAATACACAGAACTACACCACAAACACCACCTCTTAGCTAAAAACAGTGGGCTCCCTTTACATAATTTTTTTAAAATGAAATATTTAGGGAAATGTATTGGAAGAATGCAAGCTCTTCTCACACCCAATGATTGAGGTCACTGGCCACCCTCCAAACCACAAGAGGGCGCTATGGAGGCAGACTAGGGGTCTCCAAGTTTCTGTTTTACAGTTTATAACCTGTGGTGGAACCTGGAATATAGTTTTTGTGCCAAATGCTAGCACATGCGTTATCTCCCAAACAAGAAATTAAAATATTGCAAACATTTATTTTATCTACGGCCATTTAAAAGTCCAAGTCAATTCCCTTTCCCAGACCCATGCTGTGCATTTTGTGAAACATCGATTCAGTTGCAAGAGCAGATTAAATTTATCTTGCAAGCCACATGAGAGAGCCTCATCACAGATTGATTATTCTATTCCATAACAAATGCAATGTCTTGCCACAGGTTGTCTGAGAGCATGTCAGTGTTTTACATGCAGGTAGTAAAACCACAATCTATACCTGAAAATGGAAAATCTGAGGGACCACAGAAGATGTTTACTGCATGTTGCTGTGCCATTTTCACTTTCTAAACACTGTGGGAAAGCAATAAAAATGGCAAACAATTTAAAAATAACTAGGTAAAATGAAACAATTTCAAGGGATCAAGGGATGCCATGTCAAAATTGTGTTGTGAATTAAGATAAAGTATTTTATACAGCACCTTTAAGAGTTTCTTCTCAAAGCACTTTACAGGAAAAAAAAACATTAAAAGAAAACAAAAACACAAGGTATTGGAAATATAGCAAAAGAAACAAGGAGCAGACAGACACCAATTATATAAAGCCCAAGTCTGGATTTGAATGCACTCAGTTCAAATGAGGGAATTTGTTTGGGAATTATGAACAATTCTGATCAGCTCAATACAAAAAAGAAAATGTTCTGGAATGAGTATCCACATACATTCCCAGGCTCACTGACAGGCTAAAACAGCAGTCTTTTTACCCTCAATCTGAGAAGACTCCAAGAGACCTGATCCACATATTCAATGCCAAAAAGAATTGAATAAAAGGCACTGACAATTAGCTCTATGAATTTCTTTAAAATCAACAGTGAAATCTGAACCCAAGGACATAAGGGAAGTGGTTTTAAGCCAGAGAACAGTGTGCATCTTTACACAAAGGGTTGTGGGAGTATGGAGTCAAGTACTCAGCCATGTTTTCAAAGATGAAACTTTGATCTGAGCATCCAATTGTTTGCTCAAAGAAGCCAGTTAGCTGCTAAAATCCAAAACATAAGTTTGAACTTTCTTTCATTTGCAAACTGTTACAGTATATCACAAAATAACACGGCGTGCCAAAATAACACAAATGTTATATTTTGTATTAGATTTGTGATCACAAAGTGTTTAAAACTCCACAACTGCCTGCTCTGACAGCCAGAGAATTCCCTTTCACACACAGGTTGAAAGAAGTAAATTTTAACACGAGATTCACATTTTAAAGCCAATCAAAAAGACCATAAAAGTTCAACAATAAATTGAGGGCCTCAAATCACAAGTGAAAACGGTAGGTTAAGGGCTGAAAATAGAGTACTGCTTTGTGTATAAAACCATGGATGTGTGGAAGCAGTGATGTGGTTGAAAATTGTAGGGATGCTGCAAGTAACGGCCTGAGATTCTGGGATCAATTAGCTACCAGCAATTAAATGAGCAAGACGGGCCATTTAATACTTGTCCTATGTTCTTATGTACCGAATTCCATTGCAAGTGTAAATAATCACAACAGCCTTTTTTTTATCTCCTCTGTAGGCAAAAGAATACAGAAACATTTTTGCAGAAGTGGAATTATTTATTTTTATATGCAGAGCCATAAATCCAAGAGACCAGGAAGCTTTCCAGCAGCAAGAGCAGAAAGCGCCAGAATTTAACAGCCAAGCTAATGTGGTGTTATCTGAGAGCGCGGGAGCTAAGCTGGAGAGCGCAGAGCAAGAGTTTGGCAGTCAGGCCCAAACCAGAGGCTTTATCCTCACATTTTGGGACGTAAAAATAGATCCCTAAAAGTTTATAACACTCCCAAGTACATTAAAGACAGTCACGCAGCTTGGCTGAAAACGAACTAGCAGCCCTTTGCAAGGCTTTAGTGTTTGTGAGGCAGAGCAGAGCACTATTCACCATTCAGCTTACTGTGTTCCTCAATATTGAGACATTAAGAGCACTTCACTCTCTCAGGCTGACTTAGGCAGGGTTACAGAGTGCAGTGTGAAAGTACAACAGCATTTGAGAGACCCCCTATATGATCTACAACTCTTATGTGTCTCATTGCGCTTTGAAAATGGGAGATCTGCCCTCACGGTATGGGGAAATGTTTTCAGCGCTCTTCTGCTCCATGACCTGGTTGAGCAGTACACAGGAAACGGACTCTAATTAAAAGGCTTGTTTCTGGCATGTGGGGCATTTTTTTTTTGTTAACGCTTGTAATCGTGGCATTTTTCTGGAGCTGAAAGAAGGTTCCCGAGAAGAAGACCCATCCTGTTCTGTGTGGGTACATTAGCAGGCACACTTGCATGATGAGCAGTTGACTAACGACGGAAGGAGTGGCCATGTGTTATGTAGCAAGTTATTCATATCCCACGCCTTTCTAACACAGTGTGGCCTACAGTTACCAGTTCAGACACACACTATAATCTTCTCTGAAACGTGATCTATCATGTTAGCAACACGTCAGATAGAGAATTAGAGATTGTCAGACTGAGTGGCTGAAGTGATCAGAAACTATTGGTTTTCAGACACTTTTGACTCAGCATAATCAGTACCAAAGAATTCTCAGATTACTGGATACACTGTGATTTCCTTTAGAAACATGGAAGTGGGACTTTGTGAGCTTCTCTGTTTGTCGGTACAGGAGGCCGGAACAGCCTAACCTAGGACCAGAGGGAACGGAGATCACCGAGGTCACCCCGACCTGGGACACGGGCACCTCGGACCAGGGGGCCACTGAGGATGACCCCTTCACCCCTCACCTACTGCTCCCCGACAGCCTGAGCCAGCTGGAGGAGTTTGGACGCCAAAAGAAGCGCCCCAAAAAAACGCACCGGCACCACAGCAGGCAGCGGCACTTCAGTGACCTGTGGGTGCGCATGGGAGCCAGGTGAGCGAGCTGAGACTTCACCGCAGGCAAGCGAGGAGACTTCACAAAGCACGGACTTGTGGGAACATTGCGCAACGCCAGCTTGAGCATTTCATACTTTGTGTGTTTTGCCCATGTAGCCGACAAGAGACACAATACACACAGCCCTGCCAGAAAAGAGACGAGCAGCTTTGATTAAGGCGTTGTGAATGTGACAGGGCCTGCTGAGGACACCCATGCAAAAGGCTGACCAACTGCAGAGGCAGTTGTTGCTGGAATAATGAACAATTCCTCTGCTCTGAGTAATTACATTTTATTAACTTTTTTTTACAGCACAACTCATCTGCCAAATGTGCGAATCACCAATGGCTACATCACAGTGGAGCCACCCCTGACGTCTGAGGAGCAGCACAGGAGAGCAAAGGCCCACAGCCAGCAGCCTCTGCCTGGACCCCGGTCTTCAGCAGCCCCCACGGGTTCTGCTGTAGCCTTACTCCTCTTTGCCCTCCTCAGTCCGTTGCTGTGTACCTCCTGACCACCAGGCGCGCTCTCTTAAAAGGAGTGTATATGAAAAGACAGAGCATGCTGGGGCTGGCCATGCTCCCTGATGAGTTTCTGCACTGAAAGCAAGGGCATGAGTGGACCTGCTATCTTAAGAAAATAATATATAGAGTTTTTCAGATTTATGAAGCGTCTTATCACAACTCAAATAACTGACACCTTTTCTAAGAGGATCCTGTATTTCCCATAATCCAGTGGGGCATTTGTAAATTATGTATTTGTTCATAAAGAAATATTGTATATTTATTCATTCTTAGAGTATATTTTCATGCACTCCTCCGCATTCAAAACAAAAGGTGTAATTTATATTGAATCTCTAGAGTGAACCTCTGCAGCTTAAAGGTTCAGGACAGGTAATGTCTGTGGCTCTGAGCTGCGTTGTCCGCACTTACAAAGTCCCCTTTTAGTCTATTGTGACTTCTCAACATACACTCTACTCACTCCAGCCAAAGAATTGCAACTGTGAGATTTTAAATTGCACACTGGAGAAGAGGCAACAGTAGGCAGGACTTTGATTTGACTGTTAGCTGAGGCAGAGGGCTGATGACTCATCCGGGCCCTTTATCAGTGTTATGAAAAGGCAAACAGGTAAAGTTTACACTGACCACCACTTTACCTTTTTTTATAATTCAAAGTTGTTTTTTAATTAGAGGGGCAATAGAATTTGATATTTTCTCTTTCCTGTCCCACAACACAGCATAGTTCACAGTTAGGTGTACAAAGTTTAATGTCAGACACTTGTATTTTTAAAATAAAATTCTTGCCAGATTATCTGTGTGCTTTCAGCACTTTCTGCCCATCAGCGGCAGGTCAGCTATCAAACTTGCCTTTCAGCATTTCCATTAAGCCATTAATTTGAGAAGATGAACCAAAAAATTCAGAAGTGCAAGCTCGCTTGTGTAAAATAACTAGTACAAATGGGCTGTGTGGTTCTTTGGTTCTTTCAGTGAAAGCGTAGTGATTGTGAAGGAGTTAAGTTCAGGGCTGCTCTTTTCTGAAAACTGTATTACAAAATACTTGAGTGCTTGCGTTGTGTGCTGTTCAACTTTAAGAGGAGTGAATGCTTAAAGTCTGGCACAGACGGAACAAAAACAGATGGCTTATGCTCCATCAACAGTGGTGCATGGACCAGCCAGAGAATTGGAACGGCCATGAGACTGTGGTTCATCAGTCTTTACCAAACCTAGTCGCCGCTTGGAGGATGCAGCACAAAATCCGTCTGTGCAAAGGATGAAATTCAATCCAGATCTGGACAATGTAGAAAAGCGTATCATCTCAAATCACTGCACATGCAAACACTTGGAGACTAGATATTGGCTGGCCATCAGGCTTCCATTCCGACTACAAGAAAAATATAAAGATGTTTAAAGCAAGGAGTCTGCAACAAATTAATTTACATTCAACATTACATTGAATCCAATCCTGGAGTGCAAACCCAGGCTCATCTACTGAAGCTGTTTCTCAGAAGAGATCTCACCCTGCCCCCTAATGGCAAAAGAAGAATTACACCTCAGCCCAAATACCTCTGAGTACAATTGAAAGGGTAAAGGTCTATATGAGGGATTGCAGAGCACCTGTCATGGGGTTAACTTCTCACTATAAACCTTTTACCAGATAAAAAGACATTGGGCTACCACCACACAAAAAAAAACTGTCTTTATATCAGAAATGCTCCCTGCTCATCTGCCACTGTGCTATCTCACTATAAATGTCAATAGTGAAATTTACAGGCAGCCACCAAAACAGACTCACACAATGAAAATGTTTTGTTGCTACTAAATCATAGACACGTGTGTGTACACACACACTATGTACATACCCATCTGCACGTAAATCCTAAATATTTACCACCATACACATATGCATTCATCTACACACTCAGTTGCTATTTTTAGGAAAGGTATAACAGATGGGATGGAGCACGAGCACAGTGGTAAGCATCGCTACCTCAAAGCGCTGGGGCCCAGGTTCGATTCTGGACCTGGGGGGCAATCTGCTTGGAGTTTGTATGTTCTCGTTGTGTGCTCTCGCATTTCCTCCCACAGTCCAAAAACATACTGATTACTTTGAGTTACTGGGCTAATTGCCTTCTGGGAACATTGCCTTGTGAGACACAAAGATGCACTTGTATCCTATGTGTCCCATCCAGAGCATAGCCTGCCTATTCCCATTGCTTGCTGGCATTGGCTTTGGCCCCGTGACCCTGAGTTGGAAGGAGCAGTTTGAAAATGGATGGATGGTATAACATGGACCACCCTATGACCCTTGTTACCATACGAGGGAGCAAGGGAGAGACTTGTTCTATGAAGTGAGCTGGCTCCTACGCATGTTGGGGAGTTCACCTCCACACACACATTGTGTGCAACAAGTTCTTCATTCACACTGTTGACACAGATTTCCCAGATTCTCACAGGATTAAGCTACTAGAAATTAGTCAGGACACACCCGATCACCTCTTGTCATTTGGAATCTCTCTGCTATTCAAAATAAGGAAAGGGCAAATCTACTGGCTCTCTCCATATACTGTATCTTTAACTTAAGAGATATGCATTGCTCATCTCCGTGGCTTACTTAAATCCATAGATTGGACTTGGTTGCTTTATCTGCTCTACACTTCCTCTAAATAAGAAGAGGAACTCCGACTCTTCTTCTGCTCCGACTCCGACTGCTCCGACTTTTACTTTAGTCAGAGATGGGTTTTTTTTGCATTTTTGCGCCATCACAGGAAAGCTTGTATTCTTTGGTAATATCTATGCACCGGAACCCAAGAAGTCTAATAGGAAGAGAAAACATGTGATAGGTGGTGTCAGTAGTGGGATTCATACAGTCATGATGAAGACCTCCGCAGAGAGCCAGAGGATTCCACTATGAACAAGAAGCAAAACCAAAAACCCACAGACCTACAAGGGCTGAGTAAGAAAAAAACTGTTACATCGGACCTACCCCTACCCCTGCAGGCAGAAAGATTGTCATCTTTACACTCATGGTGCCAGGAGATGGCAATATTCGGCAATATTCAATATTCACAGACACAAAACCAGGGGCAGAAGACAAGATCAAAACAGTGCCTCGTGGAGTAATAGGACCAGTTGTGGAGAGTCCTGGACAACAGCTCTGAAGCACTTAACCAGGACAGCATCAGGAGAAAGGAATGAGAGTAGAAAGAAGGAGTTGGTTATACTGTAGCAAGGCAGGATCAGAGCCAATCTGCCGAACCCTGAGCTCCTTTAATAATAATAATAATAATAAACCCCTACTCTTTTCGAGAAACGCCCTGGGATTTTTAATGACCACAGAGAGTCAGGACCTCGGTTTTACATCTCATCCGAAGGACGGCGCCTGTTTACAGTATAGTGTCCCTGTCACTGTACTGGGGCATTAGGACCCACATGGACTGCAGGGTGAGCGCCCCCTGCTTGCCCCACTAACACCTCTTCCAGCAGCAACTGCAGTGTTTCCCAGGAGGTCTCCCATCCAGGTACTGACCAGGCTCACACCTGCTGAGCTTCAGTGGGTTGCCAGTTGTGAGTTGCAGGGTGATATGGCTGCTTTAATCCTCATTAATAAACCGAGACGCATTGACTCCTGTTTGTCTATTTTTGAACAAGTCAAAACAATGTTGAAAAGGAACAGTGGGTAATCCAGTTGGCAGGTCTACTTTCTGGGAAGTCCAGGCAGACAACCATTGCACTTCCCCTTGAGGAAAGCCAGGGCTGTGTTCGAGTGAGAAAACCTGAATATTACCTGAATATGACATTAGTACCAAAGTCTGCCATCATTACCTCCAGGAGACCACATCTAAAAAAGGAATGACACCAGAAAAGTTTACTCCGTACTGAAACACTTAAAAAATTGCAGGCAAATCAATGTCAGTAATCATTAATCAGTTGGCCCTCATGCAATATTTTAAAGTTAGCAACCTGAAAGAGCATTATAGTTCAGGGACATGACCCATGACTAAGACAGTCTTGATGGCAAATGACATTGAGGGGAGTTACATCTTTGGTATCGCTGCCATCCACAGCAGACTTAATATTTTAGGGCAAGCAGGGAGAAAGTATGGACAGATCAGAGGATGACAGTCACTGCTGAGCCAGTTTCGGTCTTAAATGCATTTCCACTTACTGACATATTTCTAAGAGATGCTGGAAAAAAGGGTTTGATTTCAAAGCCCAGTAGAAGAAGTGAGTCTACAACATCATAGAAACAGATGAATGTAGAAAGATTATTCACAGTACATTTTGTAAAGCACAGATTAAATGCCCATTAAATCCAATAATGGAAGCACTGTTATTCGTGTGTATTCATTCATTCTTCACTAACACTTTTGCACATGCCAAGCTTCCTAAGCAGTACTGATCCAAAAGGTTGTGAGTCTCACAGCATATAAGGTGAAAAGCAATTTACCTGCTACAATAGTACCAGATTAAAGTTAAACTTTAGAAGTTTGCTTTATTTTGTGCACAAGCATGAACACCAAACCAAAAGAGTCCTTCTCTGGTGATTACATGTTAAGGATACAGATTTAAAGCCTTCACTCATCTAGAACTAAACATCAGCACACACTTTCTCCACTCACAACCACACCCACACAAACTGTTAATGGGGAGGCTTGGAAAAAAAACACCAGAAAATACCGCAACTACTGTAGCGCTTAGAATAAGTGGACAAATGAAATAGTGCAGAGTGGTGATACAAATGCTGCTTAGAATGTTATACTGCACCCTGCATGTACATGACATCGAACAGGAGTGTCCTGGAGAAAAGGCATGACAATCTAAGGACTAAGCAAGATAAAGAGAAGTTCATATATAATTTTGTCAGTGTGTCCTTTGCCATTTTCTTAAGTGGCTATGGAACTAACAACTCTTCTGCCACTTTTCCAGACTATGGATCACCTGCAGGTGAAATTCCACCACTAGACCTACAGTACCTGAACTCAAGGCACCTGTTGCTATTAGAACCACCAACAGGATAGTGAAGAAGAGAACAAGATGAAACTGCAACACCCTCTGTCAACACAACTCCTCCAGCTGTAGCTGTGGTACAGTCAGTACCCTCAAGATGCCGCTAACTGGCTAACAAAGACAGAGAAGGTACCAGGAGACAGTCAGAGAATGTGCATTAAGAACCTGTCAGAGTTATTTCAGTAACACTTAATTTGAATGTTGCTGCATAATGCCTTCATAATCCCTTCATCGCTGCTACACAAGGCATTGTCACATGCATAATACGTTATGGGGACTTGTGCAAATGACAACGCGTGCACAAGAGTTCATGACATTTGTCTTAGCATCGCATTGTTCCGAGTGCTGTGAATGATGCTAAAACAAATGTCATGATCGCTTTGGCACACATGATGACATTTGTCCATGCCCCTGTAAAGTGCTGTGCTTGTGATAATCACTTCTTGAGAAGCAGCTGTTATGCAGCAACATTCAAATAAAAAAAATTACCAGTATTTCTTTATACAAAAGGTGTTGACGTAGATTTCCAAAATTCTCACAGGATTAAGCTACTAGTAACTAAACACGACAAGCTCGATCACCTATCATCATTTGGAATCAGCAAATCCACTGACTTTCTCTCCACACATCTTTATCGCTTATATTTATGTATTTGGATATGAAATCTTTTGACTCCATTGCTAACAGGCACGTATTATGAACCTGGCCCCTCAAAGACTGGAGCTGCCAGCCCTGTATGTACAGTTGTGTTGTGCCCAACAAGTAGCTCATGCCTGAGTACAGGAACCCAGAAACAGCAAATCTAGGCCACAGATTTAAATGAGAAGATGAAATCACACTTCAATTTACTGTTCTTTTCATGCAAGCAATACAAGTCTTTTTAGACCCAGAGATGACATAGCACCCTCAAAAGAGGATGTTATGCATAACCATGTAATCTATTTTTGATTTTTATAAAAGCACTACATCGTACGTTAAAGGTGAGGGGAGATCAGTAAGAGTTATTTCTCATATTCAGCATATTTCAAGCTGGGCATTACAAATGATAATTGGGCACAATATTTTATGCAGTGTAAAATGCGCTAAACCTTCTGGGGCATTCCTATAAACCCCAGCAAAAGTGTTTGCGTGAGTAAAGAAGTACAAAACACCAAGCTCTTCCTCCATAGTTTACTTGTCTTTTAATATTAGCAGTTATAAACCGTTACTGTTAAGAAAATCGAGAATGGATTTTTCTCTGGGACAAAAAAAACGTGGTAGTTTGAGCAGCGATCTGAAACACTGCGAGTCTAATTAATTCCACTAGAGGGGGATAGCGTTTCACACATTCTTGACCAGCGTTAATAAAGGTGTTGGGAATCTTAACGTGCTGTTCCGGTAGTAATTGTGGCCCCTAATTGTTGGTTTGTTTTGTTTTCTTTCCAAAAATGTAGTTTACAGTTCATTCTTTTCTTTACTATTTGAGCTCGTATCTTGTTTTGATATGATAAACAGATAAACAGAAACATACTTGCTGCCACGAAGTGACTAGTTCTATCAACACCTTCCGCGGGAATGATATTAAATATTAAAGTTGCATGAAAGAAACGGCGTCATCCAGAATTATTCCCAGCCTGCGACGACAGGGTGCCGGGTTATTGATCCGTAGCACTTCAAGTCCCTTTCTTAAAATAAGGTAGCTATTGAAGAAAAAGGAACGCTGTTCACACATATCGAATCATAGTTAAGGACCACCTTCATGAAGTGTAGATGTATACTTTTACTGTAGCTTAGCTGTTCATTACTAATCAATGTGATTTTATAGCTTAAATCGATATTTTCAAGCTCTGGTCTTTGGGCGGGTAGACACCGGCGGTCAAGGTCAAGTCCGGCAGACGTTGAAAGTCTGTCACTGGTTTAGATAACTATCACATCGGAGACAATCATTAAATTATTCGTTAATGTGCGCAACATGTCAATAACACCCCACAGCTGATATAAATGTTTTTTTTTTTTAAATATTGTATCGGATATGAAAATATTATGCGAAAACAAAAAAAAAATAAATTACCTGAAGTAAGATCGTCTACAAATACTTTCTACTAGAATATATCCAGATTTCGTAAACCAATTTAGCAGTAGGGCAGAATGTCTGACTATGCTGCATGGATTATCTTTTATTGTAATGTTAGGCGTGATTATTAATTACGCAATGACGTTAGAGAACTCTAAAAAGATCAATTAAAAGTGACTGATTTTAATGCCTCAACAGGACCGCTCGTTAAATGTGACAGTTTTTTCCTTATTACAGATCTTCAGAGTTCAGTACGAATTACGCAGAAGAATTACCGTGTATGGACCGGGTATTTAAAAGAACACTGTCATGTTTGAATCATTACATTTTTGAAGAATTCACTGTTGTTTTCCGTTTAGTTTACAGTATAAATACAATATATAACATTCTGTTTATTGATACAAATATTGTTTAATGATTTTTATTCTTCATAGAACGCCGTTTATTTTTCCCCTTTATATACTTCGAAATGCGGTAGAACGGATATAAGTACGTCTGTCAAAGGGAATAAACTGAAACCCCTGATTTCAAACAATCCAGTATGAAATGCACAGGATTATTTCTGACCAAGTGTTTTGCTTTGTATAGGAGCTTCAAACGGTGACGAGTATTTGTATACATTGCTTTCAATATTCACCTCAAGAAGAAAATGTTAACAATGCATTAATATATATATATCTCAAAATAACCCTGTGTAAACTCAACGTTATGTTTTCCTTCTGATTTAAATCTCAGAGCGGAACTAATCTCCTTTGAGCGGCTCCTACACAGAAGTATCTCCCTTTATTAACCTCTTGGAAACAGCATCGCTGCGTTTGTGCTATAGTGTAAACGGGAATAAGCCGTTACTGTTTTGTAATTTATGCGCGGAACCTACACGAAAAACTTGAAATTTGTTTATTTAAATAAAAGTCAGACAAATTCCATGGTGCTATCTAACAATATAAGGACAAAGGGACGGACTACGTGTTTGGTTCGCTTTTCCCAGCTGTATTTGGTATTTGAAGTGATAACGTTTTAAATCGGAAACATGTATAATGAAATCGACAATAACATTTATCACACGCAGCAAACCAAGTGCTCTCTACCGTTTTTTTTTTTCCTAGCGTCGCAGGAACCGGAATGAGTTGTGTGGTTAAAAGAGCAAGTTTCAAACAAACAGCTATTTCGCCCCTTAAGCCACCGCGGGACAATGTTTGCTTTAGCTAAAACACCATTTTGCCAGGGCTTTTGGGGGGCTTGTTTGACAAAGCGTGTGTCCTGCCAGCGCTCGCAGTCAGCTGACCCGGCGCCGATCTGGAGGGAGAGCGGGTTGCATATAAATAAAAGATTACGTCCGAGAATCAATTTCTGGCAAACTCATTACGAATCCTTGATCCCCTTAAATGATTCCCTTTCTCCAGCCTCCTGCGGTAATTACTTGCACGAGTCGCTTTTGCCCTTTGGTTTGTACGTCTCATAAATGAAGGTTGAGTTTGTTTAACCGCTCCGGATTTGCCAACCATGTTAAGGCATATAATGCGCGAGCCCCCTCGTGCCCGGCCGCGCGGCGCAGAGCGGCGCTCCGGGACCCCAAGGTTAAGGCTCGCGAGTCCAGGGTAGGCCCATAGTTTATAATCCCGCAGTTCTCACCCCTGCCGAGCAAGTTGAAGGATAAAATAACCTTAGAGAGCCTGTTAAAACACCCGGTCCCCTTTCCACTGGTATCGCTACTGGTACCATCGCTGACAGAGGACTTCTTCCGCTTCTACTAACGCTGACATTATTGCTTATTTATATGGTTCACCGTACTTCTCCCGGTATCAGTGCTGCTGATAACACGCATTGATATCTGCTGTCCATGTTAACACTGTCCCGCCCGGTATTCATTCTCCTGATATCAACGCTGCTGATAACTGGTGATTTTAGGGACAACTCTACGGGTTTTCGCATTCCATTAAAAAGAAAATACTTCCGAAATCACCCGCTTTTTGAAAGCTGGCGAGAATGGTAGACAGACACCAAGACCAAAATCCTCCTCCTAGACCTCAGACAGTTCGGAAGATACTGTACGTGAACCCGTCACAGTTGCTGATGGAGTACAGCATCATCGGTTCACCTGGGTCTCCAAAACCGTGGGCGCCACTCTAGAGTCAAACTGCCGCTGACGTCATAGGTGGCGATGACGTCTTAAATAAACGTGCGTATTGAAGTGGAAGATTTACTCCAAAGGCTATTTTCTAGTATTTGTAATTACTGCACCTCATATTACTTGTACAGACAATGGTAACAACGCAGAGACCATGCAAAAAAATATACCAAAAAGGATTTTATCTGACGTCATAATATCCACGGGTTTTTTTTACATTACGGAAAGACGCCGAACATGTTGAACCGATTTAACCCAGATTAAATACAGTGGTATCATACAAAATAAACTGCGCCTACAAATTAAACGGAAAGTAAGAGCCGCCAGGCTCCTTCACCCGGGCAGCAGGTGTTGAACAAATTGACAGGCTGGCTAAATCTTGCAGTCGATATTTAATAGGTTTGTTAACTAATGCCATACAAACCGCCAGCGCTGTACGTTATATTCGATGTGACTATTGTAAAGTTCCTATTTCTGTGAAACGATTCTTTTTTTCCACCTTGGCAAGTACGCTGTTGAAGAGAGCCTCACGGGTTTCTAACGGCTCTGCGCGTTATTATTCTGGACAAGGGCTCTTCAGAAGGGGAATGAGGTCTCTTTGATATCGGCGATAGCTTGAGGTGAAAGCGCACTTCAACAGGCCGAGTGAATTTATGCTTAAAAGTTGTATTTTTATTTACCCAGGTCTGCATGTAAAAGACTGCGGGCTTTGATGATGGTGCGGTTCCTATCTGACGAACACTTGATACACTAATGAAATATGGTAATCACAGGTACATAAAAGGATTTTTGAAAAAAGAAAAGCAAGCAAATATGACTTTATGAACTGATATTCTGAACAAAAGGGGGGGGGGGATCAATTCTTCTTTTCATAAACATTTTATATTACTAGCAATGATAATTAAATTGACCATCAATCTGGGTTACCACAATAGATACGTTGTAACAGTGTAGAAAGGCTCATGCGGTCCACTTCTTTCCCAACGCTGCTGTTGTTTTTAAGAACAATGCCCAAATAAATCTGTTTGTGAATGAAAAACAAATTACAATTGCTATTTAATTCACACGTCTCCGGTGCTGGGGACAGATGTTTAGCAAGCTCAGTAAAAACAATCCTTTACCACAAAACGGCAAGCAAAAAAAAAACCAGAACGTTCATGTTAAAACCGGTAAACGCCTGATGTAAGAAACCTTACCGTTTCGGGAATTTATAAAATTATTGCAAACGTTTTTATTACCGTGCTGTGTGGTCGGGTGGGCTTTGCGTGGCCGCCATCTTTGTTGGTGTTTTTGAATTTCGCGCGTCCGCTTAGGTGTGGCTTTTACTAAGGTTACTGCCCGAACCACAGCTGGAAGTAGGGGGTGTTAGTCATGAACCGGGACACTCATGTCTAGTGTCCGAGCTCTATATTCGTTTGCTCTTATATACATATATATCTTTGTTCAGAGACGTTTTAGTGTGAAGGAACCGGAGAGTTTTGTTTTGGCTTTGGAGAATCCAATCAGAATAAAATTGCGATGCAGTGGTTGCATTTTCCTGCTACATTAGTATCGCCCGCCCAGGGGGTTTGGGGATTTAAACCATTATCTTGGGTTCTTGGGTTCGGAGAGGTGGTGGTGTTTAAAGTGTCAGGAATTGCCTGGTCAGGAAGGAGCTAAATGATATGCTAAGGATCCTTTTCAGACTTAAAAAAAACTAAGTTTTTCCTTCTTCCTTTTTTTCTGAAAGTGTCATTTTGTTTATTGTCTTCTTTTTTGTTGTTGAAGAGGGTTAAGCCTTTGTCCTCATGTAGGTGCGAAATAAAGGGTGCTATTTCATTTTCAGACACTCTTGCGCTCTCTTCTTATTATGAGAAATTCTGCTTCCCTAGAGACACAGGGGCAGCTTGGTTGGTGAAGGTCCCTCAGAACCATCTTGTCAGGACAACCTCCCCCTATCTCTCAACCCCTATGGTGCTGGAATGGGATGTTAGTCCCCTGTGTGCTCAGCAGCATCCCAAAAGGCATCCGTCTGGAAAAGCGACCCTGTGCATTTGCTGAGTGGGTACGAGATGGAACATGTCTACATCCAGCCAACATGTTCCATCTGCCTTCTTGATGAGCGTGGATCAGATGTTCTAGTGGTGTCAGATGGCTCCATAGTCCTGACCCAGGTCATCCACCAGCCTCCTTTCTTGATAACAGAAAAACAGTTAGAGAGCAGAGGAGAGAGGAGGCCCATCTAGTCCGTTTGCTAGAGAGTAGCTACATGATGCAGGGATCTCATCCAGCTGTTTCCTGAATGAAGCCAAGGCATGAGCTTCAACACCATGGCCAAGAAACATATTTCACCCTCCCACAGCCCTTTGTGTAAAGCACAGCCCCTGTTCATGGTTTTAATGCACTTTCATGCAGTTTCTATTTGTGCCCACTTAGTATGTGTTTCTCCATGGCTGGCCCAGCCCACCCCCTCTTTTCAAGATCGTTGTGTCATTCTTGTAACAAGCAGACAGGCTCTCTGGCTGCACCAGGGAAATAGTGGACCCACCATGGACCAGGGAGTCCATCCACTTGTCCCTAATGACACTGATGTCCCTGATGTACCTCTCCACCAGTCCAGCTCACTACTGTCCTATGGCTGGCTTCACAATATTGGGATCAGTTCAGAGGGGCTTCACCCCCTTCAAGACTTCCCCACTAGCATTGAAGGCTGCACTGTTGTATCTTGAGCAGTTTTGCCCGCTTGAGCAGGTTGATACAGCAGCTCTTTATACACTGTATACAGCAGCTGATACACTGAAGCTCAGCGGGTGTGAGCCCTGTCAGTACCTGGATGGGAGACCTCCTGGGAAAAACTAAGGTTGCTGCTGGAAGAGGTGTTAGTGGGGCCAGCAGGGGGCGCTCACCCTACGGTCTATGTGGGTCCCAATGCAACAGTATAGTGATGGGGACACTATACTGTAAAAAGGTGCCGTCCTTGAAACGAGACACAAAACAGAGGTTCTGACTCCCTGTAGTCCTTAAAAATCCCAGGTTGTTTCTTGAAAAGAGTAGGGGTGTTACCCCGTTGTCCTGGCCAAATTCCCCGCCCCCCGGCCTTTACCAAACATGGCCTCCTAATAATTCCCTATCTATGAATTGGCTGCATCATACTATTCTTCTCCACGCTGAGAGCTGATGTGTGGTGAGCATACTGGTGCACCATGGCTGCTGTCACATCATCCAGGTGGATGTTACACATGGAAGGAAGTCCCCATGACCTGTAAAGCACTTTGAAGGAGTGACCAGAAAAGCACTATATAAGTATAAGTATAAGAATTATTATTAAGTCTCACGTTCCCAGGGTGCTAGACCAGTGTGTAGTAGTGTAGACAGGAGCAGACTTTGCTCCACATCAAACAGCAGGCCCCTCTAGAAGCCGCCAAAGCAGTGTCGTTCTCTCCTGTCTAGCCCACCAGATTTCTCAGCCACCCATCTCAAACTGGTCCAAACTGGTGCTCCCAAAATGCACTACCATTAAAGACCAGTAGTTGTATCCCTGGATTTTCTCTTCCAGTGTCATGTTCTCCATCTGACTTCCCAGCTTCAGGTTGCAACATCTATCCTTCCCCCCTGACATCACTGTGACAGATCAGGTTTTGACTTGGGTTCTTGCAGAAGTCAAAACAAGACAAGAGCCACAGGACATAGAACAAAGGGAGAAAAGCAAAAGAGAGCAGGAGAATGCAGGAAACAGAACTTGATGATGACAGGTGTGCACCCTTGTAGTGCAAAATCAGGAATTAAACCTGTATGAAGAGCAATTCACAAGTCACTCTGGAAAGATGAATACACCTGGAACTGACACATGCGAGAAATGACTGTTAGATCATTTCAAAAGTTTAAGAAAATGCACAAACATTGTGAATTAGAAGGAAGTCTTTCACATGCTTCATTGTGTGCAACTGCACAATCTGTATGCCCTCTATGTAAGTGGGTAACTCTAAACAGAAGCTCACTATAAAAAAATCTTTTTTCAAATGAGAACAGAGCTTTATATAATACACACGCACAATGTTGTGCATTTTTTTAATGAATGACACTGGCATAGCAAATATCTGAATACTACATTTTTGTTTTAGTCTACCTCTTGTTTCGCACAATGGATAAAACGTTAATTAATGCCCAGCCTTTAATGCATAACTTCCAGTTATTTTTAATTCTCCAGAACCTGAAAAGGTTGGAGGTCCTGCAACAGAGTGTTAATGAGGGAAGGGCCCTTTTGCTGTGGCTGTTATTGATAACGTTCCTGGAAGAGGATCAGAAACAGGAAAATGACTTGCCAAAATCCCCTCTCCCTCCCACCTCTCTCTCACACAGAGATATACAGAACTGGGCTTTGGGCTTCTAAACCCAGGGCTCGCGTCTGTGGGACTTCCTCCACTGCCAGCACAAACAGCTGTAATTAGTGTCACAGTGTAAATTACAAAGCAGAGTCTGTTGACTAAGTCATGGAAAATATTTAATTCGGAGATGAATCAAAGGAGAGGGCTTTCGAAAAGGGACAGGCTGAGCTTGTCTGTTTGACCCCTGTGTTTACACACCGCCAGACGCGAGACAAGGTTTCCTCCAGGGACTCTGAGGGGCCGCGCCCCAGTACAGGGCCCCGCCTGCTGGCCAGGCCGAGGGAGAGCGGCCGAGGTCAGGGATAAGGTGGAGGTCAACTCTCCACAGATCTGCCTCCTCAAACACGGCTAATGGGACTCGACTGCCAGGGAGCCTATCTGGGAAGCCAATCAGCACTAAACACTCTGGAAAAACACACATCAAAGGATCTATTTACAAACTTCAGAATGAGTAACAATATTGGATGCAATATTGCAGCAGCAATCCTACCTCTGGCCCAAAGACAAGGACATTTAAGGTCAGCGTTGTAAATCACTTTTCAATGTACAGCACACAGGCTTGCAAAAAAAAAACACCACCGGTGAATGAATATAGCCAAAAAATCAAGATAAACCAATGTTTTTAACTGGTGTTTTATTTGGTGTTAAGGTATCAGCTTGTAAGTAGGCTTATGAGCTAATTTGTTGTTGTTTTTTCTGGTGTTTTGTTGTAGGATAATTCGAAGTAACAGCACAAAAGAGTGGTCAATACATTTGGAAGCTGAGAAGGGTCAGTGATTATATGAGATTGCACTCTAAGGAGTAACATCAAGGCAATTGACACAGTCCCTGAAATCTCCTATTAAAATCTTCTGCTTAAAGCCAAGCCACCTTTGAGTGAAAGAGAACCATATAAGCCATTTCGTGAGACATAATCAGCTCAGCAGCTCCATTAAACCTTGCAAGTTTATCATCAGCTTCAGGTGTATCCAGGTAACGTCAAGGACAATCGGCTATTAAAATGCTGCAGTCAAGGTAATTATAGGTCTGTGCCTCATAAAATCTGTTTGCACTCTGTAGCCTCCACTGAGTTCATGATGAAGGAAACACACCAGGCAGAAACACCAAGGTCCTTTAATTATTTACCACTGTCATTATGACTGGAAGTGGCTTTGGAAGTTCACAGTTCTCAGTAACTTCCCACCTGAATCATTCCAGACATCCTTATAGTCCCACTTCTACATCTGCAGACCAGTGCTGTCTATCAGAAAGTCTCTGTGCTGTAGGCCCAAGGTCATTATCTGGCCATACTACAACAGCTGTAGAAGCTACATTCCTATGCAATAACATTTGCAATATCACAGTTTCACACAAAAAAAGATCAATTTAATGCATTTTAAAACATGTTTGTGTCTACCATAAAAAAATGTAATACACAGAATAAGGACACAAAAATTGAACTAGGACATACAATTGAATAATGACATTTCTCACATTAACAAAGAAACATGCTGTTGTCACACCCATTTGTGAAACATGAATAGTGCTAAACAGAAAACACTAAAAAGGTGCTCCAACAAATCCAGCAATGAAGGAGTGTGTAGAGATGGGTAGAATATTCTGAAGGTTAGTGCAGTAGGGTCTTCATTGATCCTCTCCTGTATTTTTAAATAGGCTCATTTACAGCCCATTACATGTATCTCTTAATCTGTCTCAGCAGGCAACACACAAACAATATCCCAGCTCTGTGACTCTTATTAAATAAATGGACAACATTAAGGAACATCTCAGGCAATTTTTATATTTATATCTTGAAAAGAAGTCTAGTCTTTCTGTTTTGCATTTGCCCTGTGGTTGCTTCACTGAGTCATTTCCTGTATCAACAAAGGCATGGCCTTCCCTGTTCCTAAACCTGGTGACTGGTTTTAAAT